CCGCGGGTGGGGCCTCCCCCCCCCCCCTACAGATCCCTCTCATGCGGGATTGAGAACTTGCTCTGGCGGCTCGACACCAGCAGGGTCCGGGTCCCCCTTGAATGCACTCGGCGCTCCGCTGGGCCTTTCGCCTTCACGGGGGCCGCCGGATGGGGAAAGAGGCTCGAGCCCCCGGAGCTGCACACTGTAAGGCCGCCGTCCTCCGCGCCCTCCCCGTTACACCAAGCGGGCGGCACACGGAGGCGCAAACTTGCAAGTGCTGCCGGCCGGAAGGCACCGCCAGGGGTCCCCGCGCCTGCGCCGCCGCCGCCACGCCTTTGGGGCGGGCACCTCGCCGCTCCCCCCCTCCCCCTCCCGGCCTGCTGCCTGAGCCGGCGGCGGGTCCTGCAGCGGGGCCACGAGCGCTCTCGACCGGCTGGCACTTCCGCGCGGGCGCGTCCTCCTTGGCCGGCCGCTCTCGTCCGATGGCGGCGCCCGGGGACGGCGAAGGCAGGCGAAGGGCGCCCTTCGGGAGCCGCTTCCTGACCGACCCGGCCCGCCTTTTCCAGCACAACGCCTGGTGAGCCGGCGTTGGGCCCGGAGGGAGGGCGCCGCGTGCTCGGGCTCGCGTGGGGCGGGGGGGAAGAGGGGCAGTCGCTGGGCTTTTTTGCGCCACGGCGGCCCCAGGAAGCGTCGGACGCGCCATCCTTGCGGTGCTGCCGATAGACGAAGGCGTGCGCTACAACACGCGGGTGCGGGTGGTGTCGTTTCGATGTGAAAATCATCGGAATCCCTGGGTGGGGATCCATTGAAGATCTTCGACATCCGACCTGCACCTGGTCCCCTTTGCGTGTCCCTGTCGAAGGGGAGTCTGGAGGCTGCCGCTCTCGGGGTAAAGTCTGGTTCCAGGGGCACCTTTGAGACCAGCACAGTCGAATTCTGGGCATCAGCTTTCTCTGTGCAGGCACACCTCTTCAGACCAACGCAGCGACCCACCTGAATCCACCTTAAACTTTGTTCGGTATCTGAAGAGGTGTGCCCGCACAGGAGAGCTGCTGCCCAGAGAATTAACCTGTATCGGTCTCAAAGGTGCGGCTGGACTCAAACGTGGTTCTGTTGCTTCAGACCAACAGGGCTACCCACCTGGGTCGCTCTTGGGAGGTTCCAGGGGTGTTTCAAGGCACCTGGCCGAGCTGGCTTTGCCTTTGCGCTGAAGGCTTGACCCTTTGCTCTGAGATCTGCTGCCCCCCTCTGATGTCCCTGGACTCCTCGGCACTCTGGCCTGAGCTGGCCTAGCTTCCTGAGAGCCGCATGCGAGGCCAGCTCCGAACAGCCGGGTTCTGGCATCAGGGGGTCCCCAAGAACACAAATGAACCCGGAGCCCAGGTGGTACCTTGAAGGCTAACGGAACAGATCCCGGCAGATGCTCTTGCCTGTCAAAGCTCACTTGATCTGACGCTCGTTGAGAAGCTGAGGCTGGAATCAGTGGCCTTAGTCCTTCACTCCCTTTGAGTTTCCTGCTGCAGGCTGAATGGGGTTCCCCAGGCTGGATTAACCTTTTCCTTCCCACAGGGACAATGTGGAGTGGTCTGAAGAGCAGGAGGCGGCTGCGCGAAGGAAGGTCCAGGAGAACAGCCTGCAGTTTCTACCTCCCGATCAGCAAGGTACCCCCAACTACTTTTCCCGGCCTGACGGCTCCGGCAACAGTGGTTAGGTGCAGAGGGGCTTCGCAGCTCCCCTGAAGACCAGGGCATGTGGTCAGATTGGGGAGGATTCGCAGTGCGTCTGTGAGGAAAAGAGGAAGTCAAATGAGGACAGGCATAAAGAACAGGATTCCACGGAAGCCAGAAACCTCTACAGTTACACTGACACGGATGCGCTGCCTCTCTCCCTGGAGAGGCAGGATGAATGAAGTGCCCAATTACTGCCCTCTGCAGACACTTGGCTTCAGCACGGCTGCTGTCAGCAGACTTCAGTGGCCTGAGAAGGGCGTAAACTCTCCTTGGGATTGCACTGCATGTGTCATTAGTCTTCACACTCTTCCCTGGGGTCTCCTCAACCTAAGAGCTGCATTGGTAGTTCCCAGATATCTAATGGAGGGCAGGAAGAGGAGCAGCGTTCCTAGAGACAGAATGGGGAGCAGTAAGAAGATATGTTTAAGTCCAGGTCAGGGAGAAACCTCCCTGTGCAGCCATGAAAGGTGCTGTTTAGGGAGGCTGTGGAACTTCCTTCCCCGGGGAGAGTTTCAGGGGAACTCTCTGGCCAAGTGTCTCGATTCAGCCAGATGATCTAGATGCCCAGTAGTAAGTAACCTGTGCCTGTTGGACTAGGCAACCTTTGCGCGATCCTTCCGAGTTTCAGACGAGGTCTCCTAAAGGGCTGGATCCGGCGTGTGACTTGGGGCTTGCCACCCCTGGCTGGCAAAGAACTCAGGCCTGACTTTGGCCGATGTCTGTTTTCCCCTCTTCTTTGCAGAGGCCTATGAAATCAACGCCAACCAGTACTGGAACGAATTCTACAAAACCCACGAAAATGGCTTCTTCAAGGACCGCCACTGGCTTTTCACTGAATTTCCTGAGCTGGCCCCGAACCAAAACGTCGGTCAGGACGCCAAGCCCGTCTCTGAGGACAGTGGCGCAGTGCAACAGTCCAAGACCCCAGGCCCTGGAGGCTGCTGTGGCACTGGGCCTGGATTGCTGGAGGAGACCGGGGCCTTGGAGCATCTGTCAGACTCCAAAATGAGCAGCTGCCGGTTGCATACCCAAGTGGAAACGGCATCGCGGAGCCTGGAGGCTGTAAAACTGAATGAGGACTTCCCGGGGTCGTCTGCTTCTTACCGGATACTGGAGGTGACTGCGCAGTAAAACGTCTTTTCCCTCCAGATACCTCTGGGCAGTTGTTCACATGAAGGATGTGAATGTGAACATGGTGTTCACCCTGTGTCATTGATCCCCAGCACGGAGAACAGGTGGGGGCTGTGGACGTGGAGGGCGTGCTTCCAGAACCCGTAGCTACCGCTAGACCTGCCGGCCGTGTAACTGTTCCTGGCAGTCCCTTCATTTTCGTCACTGTTTGTTAGTGGCTGTGAGTGATGTAGACTCACTACCTGTCCTGTCAAGGAGAGTTTTCTCCCTGCAGCAGTGTTGCCTGTCTCTTTTGCACGATGATGATGAGCGAATAACTTCTCCCTGCTCAGTTTGGAATGATAACCCATTGACCAGCAGTTGGTAGGCCCGGAGGCAAACCCGGCCCCTAAGGGGGTGCTGCCAGACCCCTAAAGGCAGGAGGCGGCAGGTGTGGAGGAAGGAGCAGGCGTGGCCGGAAGTCTTGAGGACAGTCTGCCTCTTCAGAGTGGCCTGCTGGCAAAGGCTAGCTTCCCAACCTATCGTCCCTGGCCTTGTTTCGGTCAGTGGCTTGTTGTTTCCACATTGACTGAATTACTTTAATTCCAAGCCGCCTCCAGCAGGACTTGGAAGAGGCTGTCCAGAGATTTCCTAAGTAAAGGAGAGCAGGAGGAGAGAAGCGTCTTTTGTGACAGCAAACTTAGGCAGCAGCCATTTCAGCTCTCTTTGTTTTCCCGGCAGGTGGGCTGCGGGGCTGGAAACACGGTCTTCCCCATCCTCCAGACCAACAAGTAAGTCGTGGAGACTGTCGCGGGATCCTGAGCCTGAGGTGGTCGGCTGACAAGAAGGATTCTAGGCGGGAGTCTTTATGGTCCCTCTCGCTGACAGTGGGAGTCCAGTGGGTGGAGAGCAGGTCCAGATGTTCCAGAGAAGCCTCGTTTGGTCCTGGGGGTGGGGGACTGCCATCGGTTC